GCCCCATCTTTTGAAATCAACTCGAAATAACTTTTAATTATAAATTTATATTTAGAACTGGATCTACAAATAAAAAATATGTTGAAGAAATGTTTAAATGTGACCAAAGTAAACAATATAGGCTTGCTCCTAAATTAACTGCAGATCATATCAATCCCAACAGTTTTCAAAAAATGAAGGTGAAATTAGCCTCACAAGTATTTAGTCACTCCGTAGCTGTCGCAATGTTCACATATATTGACTATAATGTTTTACCAGAGGAAGCAAAAGATACAGCTAACTTTATACAAAAAATGAATGACTTTTTTGACTTATTAAATTCAAATATGTTGCAAAATTTCAGAGCGTTCACGGGAACTGAAAAGCAGATATCATTTTTAAATGAAATTGATGATTTGTTCAAACATTTACGAGTTGAGAGCATTGACGGAAAGCAAGTAACAAAAAAACTTTATTTTTGGTTGGAGACTAACTATTAAGTCTGTTCTTACTTTATTTAAAAAATTACAGACGAAGACATTTAAATATTTATTTACAAAAAACCTAAACCAGGACTGCCTCGAAAATTTTTTCGGGCAAATAAGGAATTGTGGAAATGTTAAGAATCCAACACCTATTCAATTTGTAAGAGCATTTAAAAAAATCTAAGACATTTTGAACAAGCTGACGGTGCAAATTGTATGGAGGATATAGACGAAGTTTTATTGGCCCTTACTCCTGATGTGTTGAAACAGTGTAGCCAAGTAATACCTACACCTGTATCCACATTCACTCCTATTAAAGTATCCACCAATGATTACAAGGATCTGAAGACTCCAGAGGGCAACGCTTTAATTTATGTTACAGGATATCTTTTGAAAAAATCTTTAATACAACATTCTTGTGACACCTGCATAGATTTTTCAAAAAGCAACACATTGGACGATATCGAAACTTCATTTTGTAAACTAAAAGCATACGTGACTACTCAAGAAAATCAATTTGGAGGTCTAGTAATCCCATGCAAAAATATTGCGGAATATGTAAATCGATTAGAAGATATTTTTGTTAACAGATTTCATGAACTAATCTGTCAAGAACATGTTGGATATCAACTTAAAATGGAATTTTTAAAAGTGCCCTTCAGTCATCCGTGTAAAACATTTCCATTAGATTACTTTGTTTCCCTATATACTAGGGTTCGTATTTACTTTTCTTTAAAATTTGCTAATGAGAATATAAGAAAACATAAAATTTATAAAGCTAATACAAAGGTATCTATTTTGAACCATATGTGATTTATTTTAATTGATTCCGTTAAGCTAAATTTAAGGAAATGACTGTTTTAGAGGAACATATTTTTTTTTTTTTGTTAAAATGGGGTATTTGCATGATTTTTTTATACCAGAAATATTCAGTTTCAATTTAGTTGAGTGCAAACACCCCATTAGGTATAATTAGGTTCTTACTTGTTAGTAGGTTAATTTAAAATATTCTGTAATAAATTACTGGAAACAATTAATTTCCTGATTTTATTTTAAAAAATCTCGATTATTAACCGAAATAAAAACAAATTTTGTAATAACTTTCTGAAAATTCCCTTTTTATTGTGGGCTTCCGGAACAACCCGTCTATGGAGACCGAAGGTCATACCATTACAATTGCCCCGTAAACGTAAAGAATTGACCGCCCGTGCGACAACTGAATTTTATTCTGTAAACTTTGCCATTATCTCGAAAACAGTTAAAGATAGGTATAGGTTATGTTACATATAAAAATGATCGCAATTCCATGGAGAATTGATTAAAAATACAAATAAGTGGGGTTTCCTTTTAAAAAAGTTGGCCTTGATTTCATAACTTTTTTTGGACCACCCTGTATAAATGAAAATTGCTTCATAAAATGCGCAACTAAAAATATAATTCGACGGGTCCGAGCGGTTTTTCAAATAACGAACATCTGATTTTTAAATAAATATATTCCATACTTTTGTCGCTCACTGTATAATTAAAGTTCAATTACATGTAAAATTTTTAATATTTTATATGATTTAGATCAACTCAACCATTCAAAAATTGGTAAAAGTGAATTTAATTTTGCTGTACTACATTCAAAAGCTTTTTTCTCAATAGACACCAACTTTTTCATTGAATTTTTAATAGATGTAGGTTGGTCTAAATTGTAAGTTTGATTGTATAAGAATACTCCTAAATATCTAGCTAATAGACACTTTTAGTGTGACGTAACATATTTAGGTAACCCACAATATTCTTCCAGTTATTAACTTTCTCTGCGGCATCAAACTGTTTCGTGTAAGTTTGTCAAGAAGATTTACCATCATAAACTGGTGGTTGAAATTTTGCTGAACCTTAGTGAAACTGCTCAATTTTGACAGTTTCTGTCATGGAGTCATGCCATTTTTAATATTTTCATATTCTTTCTTTATATCTTCTTCTTTCCTTACAATGGTAATCTCTTCTTCCACTGCTTTCTCTATGTTGTCAAATCTGTGATCTACGATTTCTAACCAGTTATCTATTTCTGTCTTGATTACTTTACTTTTTCCTGATTTAGATGAACAAGCCATCTAAATTATTATTCAGTCACTTTTGATTTCGTCTTTCATCTTTCGTCTTGTATCCTGTCTTGTCTTCATATCAGATTTTAATTAATGCATCCTGTCTTGCCTTCATATTAGATCTTAATTCATCTTGTCCTGTCTTAATATCCATAGTTATTTCCATGATTTGTTTCATTGATTCTTTCATTTCTGCTACTTTAGATTTTGTTCTGACTGGAATTCGCTGTTTTCTCAAACTAATAATCCTCCAAATCTCGCTTCTGACACCAATTTGTATCAAATATAGTTAAGAAATGAGAAGGTGTCAAATCAGTTGGATGAGAATAGACTCTTTAAGTGTGACGTCATATATTTAGGCAACCCACAACAAATTGTCATAGTTGAAATTGTACAGACCGAATCTAACATTTTTGTGTACTATTTACATATATACTATAAAAATGAACAACTTCAAATTAATTTATTTTTACAATGATTTTGAAGTACCTATTTAAGAACAACCAACACATGTTTCGTAAAATATATACATAATGTGCTTAAAACTTACAAAAAACGATAGGTATAAAAGAATATTCCTAAATTTAAATAAAGTAAAAATTTAACATTAGCCGTATTATCCCTAATGCTCATGCTCGGAAAGAATAGCGTCATCCTCATACGCAGGTAAGCTCTTGTTGATATGTTATTGCTATCATCATTAGCATATTTTCTCATGTTTTGTTTAATCTTGGCATTTTCTAGTTCTAAGTATTGCTATTTTTTTTCTTGGAGTTCAACTGTGTTGGTGTGTTTATTGAATGTTTTTTTCTTCAAGTGGTTTATTATAGACGTACTCTTAACCACAACCAAACTATTCTTGGGTGATACCCTGTTGCGAGGCTCCTTGGCTTACATGAAATTATTTTTAATGCGCATGCTCAGTAACATTGATACCTATAATTTTAATTTATTAATTACTACAAAAATCAATATGGTTCTATTTTAAATATATAAGTTCTATAATTCTATTAGTTTGTCACCTGGGATTTGAAGCTTCTTAAATATTTTTAATATTGCCAGAATATTGTAATATTTAAGGTCATGACAAAGAAGCCATTTTTTTGGCACTTATGTCCAAAGTACATAAGGTCGAAAATCGATCTAATAGAAATATCGAGAAATTCTTCATGACTGTGCACTATGGGGTTACCTATTATTTGGCATATGTGACGTCACTACTAAAAAGATCTATCGATTGTTGCAGTAAAAATTTGAAATCAGTTTTTCTCTGCAGTGATGCATTTTAGTAACATGCACAGTACCTGTATATATGTATTTTTTCAAGTAATAATGTGGTTTCAGAAAACATCTCCTTTTCCTCAAAATCTCGATCATCAAAAAAATGTGATAAACAATTTATTTAAAAATCTCTGGTGTCAAATTTCTTTAAAAGTAGCGGTCTTATCCTAAAAAGTGAAATAAAAATATTTTTTAAAGGCCGTTAACTTTTTAAAGGAAAAAAATTGTGCTAAGGTAACCAAAGCTACTCTTGAGATATGACCCTTTCTCTTCTGAAGACCTGTGTAATATTTATTACTATTCTGAGTTGGCCATTATTTTTACCATTAGTGACTTTTTGACAATGTTATTGCAATGAATTTGAAACACCCTGTATACAGGGTGATGCAGTCATAATGTCATTAATTTTATGCACATATTCAGAAGGTCTAATAAAGACAGAAAATCTAAACAAAAAAAAATTACACGATCTTTTCAAAATAAGCAAATTGTCCCTTAACTCCCTTTAATTCGACCCTCTAATTCTTAACACATTTTATGACAGCAAACGTTGAACGAAACAGCTGTCGTGCGTGTTGAATTTTGCAATTAATTTCAAAATCAAAGTGCACCGGATTTTAATTTTATTAAGTGTTATGGACGAATGAGGGCTTTTTCAGAAGTAAATTAAATTGGTAGGTAGGTACCATTATTCTTTGAAAAGCAAAAAGTCACTTTTATAATTGATAAAGAGTTTTTAATATTATAATCACTTATTATTCAGTTTTAGTTTAGTAAACTGAATAATTAATACTAAAAATTCATATTCATTTATAAAACAGTGAAAACGTTAATAATATTAAGGTGAGGTTAGTGACCGAACAGTACAGTAGGTCAAGATTCACTCTCGATGTAGGTCAGCGGTCATTAGCGGTCCAAAAAGGGGTTTAAATAATGATTAAAAATATTTTTTTTCAGCATAAACATATATTTAAGAGCTTATTTAATTGCATATTCGTATTCTACTCATTTTTCCCTAACTTCCCTTAAAATTAATTACATTATGACCGAACAATCCTGTATTTCAACTGAAAGAATTATTCTTTTAATAGTGCCATTCACAAATGAGACACATCCATTGTCTCAGAAATAATGTTTATTAAATTTTGCAAATTTATTTTAGGTATGAATGTTAACCAGAGAGAACTAAACCAGCACATAGAATTTGAGCCCAATACTTACTATGCAGCCTTTAGTGCCGAATTGGAGGCCAGTGCTTATCCTATGTGGGCCCTCGTATCCCACTTAACCGATGCTACAACTGCATCATTAACTCGAAGAGTGTTATCTTCTTGTTTAAATGAATTAAAAGATTGGTTAGATGCTATTAATTTTACTAGTCCAACTGTGGTAAGTTAACAATTATTATTTGTTATTATTAACCTGAATAAGAGAACAAATATTTAATCTTTTGAATTTTAATATTTTTAATTTATCTAAATTAAATATTTTAGAAATTTCACAACAGTAAAAGACGACAAATCTACAAAACACATTCAGTCGTTTTACATACAAAATTTTATGTTTAAACTAAAATACATCTTTTTTCCTTAAATAAAATAAATGACATCCATTATTAAACAACATTGTTAAAAATGACAGGCAGTGGCGGTTTTACCATAAGAGCTGCGGAGCTGCAGAACACATAAAATTTTATGTATTTAATCATATTAAATATCAACAAAATATTTAAAGAATCCAAATGTACTCGCGCTAAAATAAATCTAGGAGCTTATATTATTATTTATTACGACGCGAGCTACGCTCCTTAATATATGCAACTTCATATACAAAATGTGTGAACAGAGAACAGTTAGATGCGTCCTTTGTTTTTATTGGCTAATTAGGCTCGTGACGTCATGACCCACGTCACTTTTATATGGGCTTTTGTGGCTGCAAACAACGACGACCACTAGCCATTGCTGCAGTAAATGCAGTAATATTTCGTACGTGGTATGTGGTGGTTTATTTCTGCGAGCAGCACGTGTGAATATTTTCGTTTAGGCGTCTACGGATATTATAGTTATTAAAATGAATAGTATTTCGTTTTTACAAAAAACTTTATTTGGTTCCCTGCGTTATGAGGATAAACTAAAAATAAAGAATTAGGTGGGCCAACACCACAATTAAATATTGGAAGTTAGTGGAACAAATCGAAGTAAGTTATAAAAGACAATTTAACAATAATGTATACACAAAAGCAGAGTGGGTGTGCGGGTGTGATATAAAAAATACACTGTTTTGTTTTCCGTGCTTACTTTTCGGTGGGGATAAAGCATGGACAATATACAGTGTGAAAGATTTAAGTCATTTAAGTCATTAGGTAAAATAAACATAAGAAGTCAGTTAGATTCTGCATATTGGGATAATATACGGAAACACAATGAACAGGTAACGAAAAATTGTTATGTATTATCTAATATCATAGATTACAAAAAATGTTGTGGAGCTTTCGAATTAGAACTTCGCGGACATGATGAGACAGATAATTCGGACAACCCCTCGTAAATTTAGTGCAGATCTTGACGACATATTAAAAGAACATCTAGCCACATGGGTATGACCGGGATTTTCTGTGATTGTACCGGGAATTAGCTGTATGGTCCCGTATTTCGGATTTGCACGTATAACTCCCGGAATATATGTACATATATATAAAAAAAGATAAAGAAAAAATCATAACTGCAAGGAAAATTAAAATTCGTTGAATCGTTGGTAAACTTCACAAACGATTTTTTTGTTTTTAAACAATATTCAATAATTTAATAAAATATATTTACTTTATTCCAATTTATTTATACCGTCAATAGGTAATTCGTGAATAGATATTTCAAAAAGGTATCAATTTCAAAAATCGTTGTGAAAATTTGTATTTTTGTATAAATGGATTGTTCCTTGAAATTCAGAAGTGCCAGGAAAACGCAACCTTGAAAATTTTAAAATTTTTCGCCTGCGGCGCCATTTAGAAACTCCGGGCACTTAATATCCCGGAATTCAATTCAACAAATATAACAATCCTAAGCAGAACACATTCAATCAATGTTCACGCGCCGCCACTGGACACAGGAATACAATTTTTAATGACAAATCGATGTTATTATTTTGAAAATTAAAGTAAAATGTTCATTGGTGTCTTTGATATTAAGAAATAGAAGAGTGTTTAATAAGCTGTACAGAATTTGACCATTTTAAATAATTTATTATCTCTTCATATATTTAAAAACATTGAAAGTTATGTTTCATGTATGTGATCAATTTTACATTATACTAAATGAGTTTATTTCTGTTATGGAAACTATAAATTTACATTTTGTTTGAAATAATAGTAATAATAATATATACAGGGTGTCTCTAAAGGGTCTGTACAATGCTCCAGAAGATATAGTACGGCTCAAAATAAGTTGATTTAACTAAACTTGCCTTAGTCCAAAAATTGATAATAACAGAGCTACAAGGTGCCTAAATTGAAAAAAAATATAAAACGTTTTCTTGAATATCTTTCTACTACAAGCTAATTTTGTATCCCGCAATCTTTCGGGATGAGAAATTCTAATTTATTGACGATTTTGTTGTGTCTTCTAGGGGGCGCCACAAGCGACCATTAGAATGCATATAAACTGCCAAAACCTTTTTGTGCTAGGATGTTTTTCACTTTGTCAAACGGACATGGTTTTTAAAGCATTCTTCAACATTGGCTAGCATCTCTGGCATAATTTGCCGAAATGCTGTTATAATGCAGAGACACATATTTTCACTGTAGTTGGTGTTGTAACATAAATTTGACTTTTTACATATCCACATAAAAAGAAGTTACAATTAGTTAGGTGAGGAGACCTTGGAGGCCAACTTACTGACCCTTTGCACCCAATCCATCTGTTAGGAAAAGTTACATTTAAATAAAGACAAACTTCAGCGGTACTGTGAGGCGGGGCACCATCATGTTGCAACCACATCCTTCGAAGGGTGACTAAAGGAATGTCATCCAGTAAATCTTCTAGAGTTTCTTAAAAAGTGCAAATAAGTTGTTAATGTCAGATGTCTGTCAAAAAAGAATGGTCCAATTACATGGGCTCCCAAAATTCCTCCCTACACATTCAAAAACCATCTGTATCATTTTCCTCTGTAATTACAGTTTTAGGTCAATTTTGTTTTCTGTGGATGCCTTCTGTCGGGATACCGTTGTGCATAAACTCTTGATACCAGTAATGAATTTCTGAAACAACCACCGAGAACAAAAACCATGTCAAACATTTCTTCTCGTGTCATTGACATTTTGAAAATATAATTAAATGTTAAACTCTTTGCGTCTTATTAATTTTAATAGTTCCAAAGCCAAAACTAATCAAAATTAAAGGACATTTAAATTGACTTAGGTCCGGTACTTTGAGTCTTGGTTAAGACTTGCTTAACTGATCAGGCGATTAGACTGTAAATATACTTTATAAAATAAATCAGTATATATGTACATTCTAATCATATTAATTAACCAAGGCTTAACCGAGACCCAAAGTACAGGGCCTTATAGGTCAAACAGTGTAATAAATAATTGCAAAGCCTTCTTGACGGTGTTGGTAACTCCTTTTTTTTGGAATTTTAGATAAAACCGAATTTTTCTCTAAAACTGTTAGAGATAAATATGGTACCTTATATCAATCGAAAGGACATTTAATTTGGCATTCAACAATAGCAATTAATCATTGTCATTTCATTTGAAAAAAAAGGTTATTTGTCTTCTAAGATTGTCAAAAGTAGGTCTTAATATCTTCAGTCCTGAATAACTTAATTTGTTTTCCAAGCATGTAAAACATCTAGAAATTTGTGCCGAAACGAACTGTCTAAACCGCATGTTCTTAACTCTTTTAGTTTAGTTAGTTTAGATGCTACTTAGATTTATTCAGAGAGCCGAAATCGTGATTTTTCCAAAAACAGTCGAATATCTTGGAAACGGTTCTAATTTAAAATAACGAAGTTATGTATTATCCAGAAGAATCGGAACACCCTGTATAACTGAAAATATTTTACATGCTCAATATAATTCCAAACAACTTTTATATAAAACATTTTTTTAATAAATTTAATATATAGCTATGGAAGAATCTGCCTTAGGTGAAACACTCGGAATACTTTGAACGACTAACTTATGGAACAAATTAAATAAAACTGTAATAACTTTTATAAAAATGCTAATAGGTCGATTTTATTTTGTTTTTTGCGTGCATTCGATTTTCTATAGTGGAACCCCCTATATATTTCTACAAATTTGGATAGAACGTTATCTCACAAATACAATATTGTAGATATTGGTGGGTCTATCTTTAATAATGGAGATAAACAGAAGGCAAGGAAAAAAGTTTAATACATTAAGAACAAACGAACAACAGTTGTAAATTAAATTAAATAGTATTAAACCAAACCAAATTAAATATTGGAAATGCCATCCATCAGCTGAGAAGAATCTGTCCTGAATGATTATATGTATTTGGTTTCAACAAGATGGCACACCTTCCACACTTTGCACATCCTGTGCATAAGTAGTTAGACAACTGTTTTCCTGGGAGGTGGATTGGATTGAAGTTCAGATCTTACACCTTTCGATTTTTTTCTTGTGGGGTTTGAAATCAAAAGTCTACGTAACCAGACTGCAGAATTTAGAGGAGTTAAGAAATCAAATTACTGGAGAAATTAGTCCAGAGGTCATTTGCAGTGTACAAGAAGAATATGTTCATAGGTTTCTTTATTGCAAAGAGGCTGATGGATGGCATTTCCAACATTTGTTTTTAATGAATATTTTAATTTTATTTGTTGAATACTATTTAATTTAATTTACAATTGTTATTTATTTGTTCTTAATGTATTAAATCTATTAGTGGAAAAATTCACAAATATTCAAAGTTTAAGAGGAAACAATTGTCTCAATACAATGCACCGATATAAATACTTACTTATGTAATCCCGACATGAAATATAAAATATTAAACTATACGAGCTAGTATCACATCACTTTTTCACATATGTTGCACAAAGCTACATACATTTTATCACATTTTATAACGTCTCTGTACCGTTTCCTGGTGTGGGACAATTAGGTCATCCTTGTAGTTCCTAGTTATGAATGAAATAATAGTACAATTTTTACTACAAACATATTTTGTATAGCGACATCTACGTGAATATTTCACTTTGATAGGCGAAGTTGAGTTTCGATTTCTAATAGTTCAAGAGCTAGCTTAGCGTGGACTGCACCGATGGACTATAGTCATGATTTTTTGTTAAAAGTTTCTTATCACATTGACAAAGCCAGAGCCCATCAGTCAGAAGTCTCTCTATAGGCGGAGAGCGTAGGCGGGCAGTTAAATCCGAGAAGTTTTGTCAATAAAAAAATAATCAAATATAGTTATGAAAATTGGTACACTTATAAATTTTAAATGGATAAACATGGAAAAAATATTGTCAGAAGGCTAGGTGGTGACTTAAGCGCTCTCAGAAGCGATAAAGTAGTTTGTGAATTGAAAAATAAATCACAATATATAGTTCTGACATTTTGTTTATTGTTAGTTTATAATGCAAATAGACTATCTGTAAAGTTACAGAAGTTAAAAGTAAGGCTAATAGTCAAAAAAACATTATTTAACGCTGCTCGTGCAAATTTTTGCCGTGGTTGTTACGCCCGGCGTTTTTGATCTTTTATTGTTAATAAATGATTAAGTATAGTTCTAGCATTTTACTTAGCCAATCTTTATATTATATATGTTTGTTATAACGAAACAACAGAAGTTTACTCAGAGGTTAAGGCTATGCTAGGGCTACATAAGTTTAAGTGCAATTTTATTTGGTAATGTTTGTTTTCACAATGGCTTTAAATTGGTTTTTCTACCGAAATACACACAGTGCACTTTACTCTGAATCGCAATCTGATGATTTGTCCTGATTTTGTCATTGTAACTGCAATTGAAAACACACACTTTAACACTCGCCATTGTTGGTGGCTTAAAAATGTATTAATACACGAAAAATCCAATGAACAAGCAGTGAACGCTGTTAGAGCTGTGACTGGAGCGAAAATCAGAAGCGAGGTGACGCTTGGTTACTATTTTGAAAGTCAGGCCAGAATAACCGTCTGACTACAAAGGCCTACAAAAAAATCCTGTGTTTTTGAGACGTGAACCTACCCTTCTTCAGTAAAATTTTCCGCTGAATCCGAAAATGATAAGAAACAATTCTGACATGTGGATTCCCGACCACATACCCTTAATTTCCCCAAAAATTAAAAAAATCCAAACTAGTCATCCAACCTCCCCACACACCCTCAATTCCCCCCAAAAATTTAAACTGCCCATTCAACTTACCTTTAGTAAAATTCGCTAAATCCAAAAATTGCAAAAAATTGTTTAGACGCGAGGGATTCCCCCTGCTCATCCGTGTCTCTCACTTGTTTCTTTCAAAAATAAAAATAAATACAAATCAGACGTGGCGTGGCAACCGTTATAACTTTTATAAAATCTGTCGGTAAAATCAAAAGTAAATAATATTGATGAACTAAGTTTCCTCTGTTCGTACACTTAACCTCGCCCCCCCCCCCCAGATATAATTTACAAATTATGGTTAGCACTGATGAAATTTTTCACTGAAAGCTTACTATTTTCCAAAAGCTCTTAAGTAACATTAAGCTAGTAGCATGCGGAAGGTATTTTCTAAAACGTTTTAGCATTTTAACTTCGCATTCAATTAAAATGCGAGTTCAAGCCCTGGGGCCACGTCAAGGCGTCTACCAATCCAGAGTAAGTTATAACTTGGATTTAGAAAATACCTACCTAGCTTAAAGTTACTTAAGAGCTTGAAAGATTTTGGAAAACAATAAGCTTTCAATGAAAAATGTTTTCAATGCTAGGATGCTAACCATAATTTGAAAATGCTAACTGGGGGTGAGGTTAAGTGTACGAGCAAAGGGAGATTTTAGTTGAAAAATATTTCGTAGTTTTGGTTTTATCGACAGATTTTATAAAAGTTATAACGGTTGCCACGTTTGATTTGTATTTATTTTTATTTTTGAAAGAAGAAAATGAGAGATAAAAATGAGTAGAGGGATCCCTCACGTCCAAACAATTTTTTTGCCATTTTCGGATTCAGCGAATTTTACTAAATATAAGTAGATTATATGACCAGTTTGGATTTTTTTGCATTTTTAGGGGGAATTGAGGGTGTGGGGGCAATCCATACGTCAGAACTTATTTTATGAATTTCGGATTCAGCGAAAAATTTTACTAAGGATGGGTAGGTTGGATAGCCAGTTTGGATTTTTTTAATTTTTGATGGGAATTGAGAGTACGTGAGGAAAATCCATATGTCAGAAAATTTTCTTTTTATCTGTTTCGGATTCAGCGGAAAATTTTTCTAAAGATAGGCAGGGTCATGTCGCAAAAACAATTTTTTTTTTGTCGGCCCGTGCTATCGTCTTGCGCGCTATACTTGACTCTGGCATAGTCTTAACTTCTGACTAAACTTCTGTTGTTTCGTTATAACATAAATATATTCGTAAAAAGTGGCTATGTAAAATGCCTGAACTATATTTATTCATTTCTTAACAATAAAAGAATAAAAAAGCTGGGCGTAGCAACCAGGGCAAAATTTACATGCGCGGTGATCAATAATGCTTTTTTGGCTATTAGCCTCACTTTTAACTTCTGTAACTTTACATTACTATTTGCATTATAAACTAACAATAAACAAAATGTCAGAACTATATATTGTGATTTATTTTTCAATTCACAATTTACTACTTTATCGCTTCTGAGAGCGCTTAAGCCACCATCTATATATTAAATATAACTTTTAATATTTTGGTTTATTTGTATTTTAATAGTAAAATTATAATTTTCAGAATGATAGTCTTCAAGTGACCTTCCATCTTCCGCTTCACAGATACCTCGCTGTGTTCTTGTGTCAAGCAGTCGCGAAGCAAGAAATTACTCTTAATGAAGTATTACCATCCACAGATACTTTCCTGAACCTCCTCATGATGCATCCTCTTCGTGTACAGGTAAGTGACTTCCCATAGTCTTCATAAGTCAACAGATTTACATGGTCAAGCATCTACTCACTACAAATCGGTAGAACTACTTTTTCTACATGTATAATTTTATGTCTACCACATCAACCAATCGCATTTGTAATGTTCATTTTGATTTTCATCACGACACCAAACTTTACAAAATGAATAAAGAAAAAGAGAAAGAAAAATTAACTATTCGAACGAATGAATTCAAGCAATGAAAAAATAGACTATCCAAACAAAAGAAGGTAGAAAAAAATAAGACTATATTTGTATACAGGATGTTACAAATTAGTAGGTCAAACAATTAACCACATATTCTTTGGATTAAAATAATGGGACTCTTCTTATACTATTTTTCATTTTGGAGCCCTACTTTCAAAATAGTGGCAAAATCAAAATTTAAAAAATTATTTTTATGGATAGCTCTGGTGATCTAGAGATATTTATTTGAAACTTAGTATATATTTTTATATTATGATGGTACACATTATGTGTAATTTTGGTCTAAAATATGTAAACGCGAACGGAGGAAAGGGAGTTATAGTACCCATGGACCCCTTCTAATTTTTTTTTTTTTTTAGTACGTCTATTTTTTAATATTCAATTTTTATCAAACAAAAAAGTTGTATGTAACGAAAAATAACTTAGGAGATGCTTATTTTAGCCCTTCCAAGGAGCAGAAATTTTCGAAAAATTGTTGAGAAGTTGCACATGCATAAGTAGAAAATTTATATAAAATTTAACTGTTATACCTATTTTGGTTTTCAAATTACAGCCACTATTCCATGTTTTTATGGAAACTTTGAGAGGCTGTATCTCCTAAGAAATGATCATTTTGCTAAGGTAATTTTATGCAAAATGTGTTCTTTTTAGATTCACCAGTACCATTTGTGTTACTTTTTTTAAAAACACCCTGTATACCTATTTCAATTTTAAATTGATAATGCAATTCTATTTTTCAGACATCATATTGAAAATGATTTAAAGAAAAATAGGAATTTTGAGAACAATAAAAAATGGCTGCTTATATTTATCTGATCATTAGGCAACAAATTTTTTTGCACATACAGGGTGTCCCGAAATTCATGCAACAAAATTTGATCACAGATTCTTAAGACAAATTTAGGGGACCCGTATTTTTTATTTTTGCCAAGTGGCCCCCTCTTTCGGAGTTACAGCCCCATGAAGTCCGCCCCTAAGAATAATCTTTTTTTTTATATCTCAGAACCCTGTTGTACGAGAATCACTAAATTTGGTACACAGGGGTTGCGACCAAATTTTTCTGCTTCCAAAGACAAGGGGGCCCACGAAAAAGTGTCTTAAGGGGGTTTCTCTCCAAAAAGCGTAGCAATGTGATATTCCACATGTCATAAAACCCCTGTGTACCAAATTTAGTAATTCTCGTACAACATGGTTTTGAGATATAAAAAAGACTTCTTAGGGACAGATTTCAGGGGGCTGTAACTCCGAAAGAGGGGGCCAGTTGGCAAAAAGAAAAAATACGGGTTCCCTAAGTCTTAAGAATCTATGACCAAATTTTGTTGCACGAATTTCGGGACACCCTGTATATGTATGTCAACGCTCTTCGAGATCTTAGGATCGGCAACACCCAAGTAAATTTTTTATTTCACAAATTTCTTCCAAAATCCGTTCTTAATCGCCACGGTAGCATAGTTGGTCCAGAGTGCTGTGGCAAGCCAGACTTCGTATTCTGGTCCAGGTTTGATCCCTGGTGTCGGCAATGTTGATGGATAATGGGTGTTTGACCGCCCCCTTCTGCACAGCCTTTGGCTTTGGATTTGGGGATTTTCATTTTTGTGGTGTGTTTTATGTTTTATTTTATTTTTTTTCTTAAACGTTCTCTTTATGAATCAACAAATCGTCCCCTAAAAATGGTACCTATGGTCCCATGCTTTATTATCAAAATATAACCACTTTGATATGCCATTGTTAGCTAAACTAGTGCGTCATGGAACTAAATCAAATCCACATGGATTACAGTGGACACACTCGATGTACAACGTTGTCGGTCGGTTTACCTGTTGACCATTAGACGCCTTCATTATAGCCATCCTTGTCTATCACATGGATTTCTATGGCTTACTTTATTGCTCTCACGTAACTTCTGATAGACCATCGGTACTTTCCTACACTGTATATCAACACTTCACTATCAAATGTAAATAACGGCGTCCCCTTTATTTATTAGTCTGAGTTTAAACCCCTTTTTGGACAGCTCTTGACCGCTAACCTACAAAGATTTATCGAGAGTGAATCTTGACGTAACATTTGGTCATTATCCTAGCTTTTAATACGTTTTTGATGTGTATGAGTAAGATAATTTTTACATTTTAATTATTAACAAGTATTATTTATTCGTTAATAAAAACGTTGTACATTTTATAATTGATTATGAGTTTTTAGAATTATGTTTAATTATTAAGTTTGTAGTACGCATACTTTATTATGTGACTTATTTAAAATGCTTGTATGGCTAAAACATTACATCCATCCAAAGCACTTTGTTAATAAAATAATGATTCACTTCACTTTGATTTTGATACAAATTGCAAAATTCAAGACGACTGAGGAAATCAGCTGTTTCCTTTAATGTTCGAACGCTTTGTAGTCCGCCGGTTGGCGCATTCCCTGTTGCGAAGTAGGGCGCTGAGTTGACGGGAGTTAAGGGGTAATTTGCTTATTTTTTAAAAGGTCTTAGGCCTACCGAATACTTGGTTAAAATTAATGACATTATGACTGAATCATCCTGTATATTGCGCACATTCAAAACATGTTGGTTAACTGGTACAAATAAAAAAACTTCTCTTGTTTATTTTGCACTGAAAATAGTAGGTGAGTGAAAATGGATTTTCCAATTTAATTAATACTAAATTCAGGTTAAAATTAAACAGAAAACATTTTGGTAAAACAAGAATTGAAAATGTTCTAGAATGCTTGTGAATATCTGAAAAAAAACACAAGTGCAAAATATTCTTATAGGAATAGTTTTCTTGGAATATGAATTAGCTTTTTAGAGCCATACCAAACCTGAAAACTCATTGTATAAGGGATAATTTCCCATGGATTTAGTACATTTGTTAGTAAGGTATGATAAAACTCAAAATATTATTTGGGAAATTCCATATTATATAAAGGTACTTCCAGTTTGATACAAAATGATTATCTATCTTTATAATTTGTTAAATTGAAAAAATTAAAATGTGACAGAACAAATTATAATGTATTGACTGTTTTTTATTTAGTTTCTTTTTACTGTTAGTTACTACTGAAGTTAAACAATTCATTTTTTTAAAGAAAACAAACACAAAACAATTGTTTTCGTTCTTCTGTAGAACAGTGTGAATACAAATTTGGATAATTTAAATGGGACATGCAAAAACATTATTTTAGAGGAGATTGCACACATTTCTCATTTCTTCTGTACAGTTTCGCTTACTGTACTGCCACTATGATGGCTTAAAAACACTTTATTGCCACTATGATGGCATAAAAACTTGATTCATCTTTATTAAAACAAACTTGATGAAGTGGACTGTATACTGTTTACTAATTAAAAATGTAAACTTTTAACAAAATAGTGAGACATGTTGCCTCAACAGGCCTTCGTACACATCTGGCTTTTTACTTGACCGTGCAGAGTGCAGAGGATATAGAAAGTAGATGTTTGTTTTATGTTGCAGGCCTCTTAAAAAAGGTCTGTCACAATTGATGAAGTGCAAGATGAGTACGGCAGGACCGTCTTACGCTCAAAACATTGGGATCCAATTTTATTTTTTAGGTACATTTTCTACTCTCTCATAATTTATAATGTAAAATACCAAACAAACAAAAAGGTTTGTCTAAGTGTTGATATCGCCAACAGTTTTAGAGGAAGTTACTCCATCCATGGCCTTGAAGCAGTTTTAAGAAAGATGTGTTTAAAAAAAAAGGCAATTTGTTGCTTAAACTGTTATAAAAGGGCAGTAAAAGTAATAGATAATAAAGATAAATGTGTAGTTTGCCAGACCTGATGCCGTAATGCCTTCTGAATTCTGATAGGCTATGAACATGTAAATATTAAAATTTGTGGGCAAGCATTACTTTGATTTATCTGATAGCATAGCTTATAAAACCAATTGCATCCCTCAAGGGATGCAATTGATTTTTGCAAAAAAATGAACGCATTTGTTGTAACTTGTACTAGGCTTAAGTCAGGTTTTTGTAGCAGGACTTTAATTTAATAGTCAATAGAAGACCTCATTCTTAGAAAAGTTAATGGATCTTAGAATACTTAATTTTTGAGATACACAGTGTTTAGTTGAATTTGAAAATTTACGTTAACGTTAAAAAAATTATTGAATTTGTCGAATATCGTGAATGTCATAAATATTCTGATTTGAGACAAACTTAAATTTTTTTGATCATATTTTTCAGGTTATAGTCTAAATCAGGACTGCAGACTGGTTGATTTTAAAATTCTGCCATAAATTAGCCAACCAGCAGCCCTGATTTTAGATTATAATTCCAAAATAATGGAAAAAGAATGAAAAAAAAATTGGAAAATTGATTAATTATACCCCTAAATATTTTTTAAAATACACTGTGTCCCAAAAGTCCTGAAACAGCAAGATATATAGATTAATAGTAAGTTTTAGTTAAAGTTCAGATATGCTTCAGAAAATACATTCCTTTTGTCATTTTTTGACATGTAAAGAAATGTTTACATTTACCCCCCTTACCCCACATGAGGTTATATAGTTAGGGTCTTGGTCAACTTTTGCTATTATTGTTTCACAGAAATCAAGCCTTCGATCATAATCATCTTAACCTAACTCTTGCAGTAAATGTATTTTATAAGGTTTATAAGAGTTTGTCTTTAAAGTTCGGCAAATAGATGATATACTACTTGCATCCTTACGTACAGAAGTATAAGGATCTTCCACAAAACTCTGCAATACTTCAACAGCATTATTGTCATTAGTTGGAGTTCTTGGGCGTCCTGATCGGGGCTTGTCTTTCACGTTTCCAGTTTCTTCAAACCTGTGTAGTGTTCTGCACACAGTTGATTTTTATACTGGCATTATGTATCATTAAATAAATGAACCACTTGATCGAATGACCTTTTGAGATCGCCATATCCTCATCAAAATCGTTATTCTTTCTCTTTCATTTAGATTTTAGAGCCATATCTGATTAAATTTTTAATGAACAAATTTGACAATTCGAATATTTTTTTGACAAAGTTACTTTATTATAAAATGACAAATGCGATTTTGATTATTACCCAGCAAACTTTATTTAATTAAATAACTTTTTGAATTTGAGTTTAATATTGGTTCAGTTAAAAAATAACTGTAACTCGTTTGTTTTCTAATATTTTCCAGAAAATTTTACATTACTGTAAAGAGAATGAAATTTTCTTTCAAATGACGTATCACAAGCCATAGTGTGCAATTTAAAAAAAAATGGAGGGAACCTTGTGGGGGGTAGGGGCGGGGGCTGATGTAAACATTTGTTTACATGTCAAAAAATGACAAAAGGAATGTATTTTCTGAGGTATATCTGAACTTTACCTAAAACTCACTATTAATCTAGATATCTTGCTGTTCCGGGACATTTGAGGGACAGTGTCTTAAAATGATATCATTTAATTATCATTTTTCTAGATACAATAAATAGTTAAGTTATATTGTATTTAAGATATTTTACTTGTTCCAACAGGGGAATTAGTTGTTCAGTCTGTGCAAGCACAAGATAAATAATTGTTCATAAAATAACCAGTAAATATCTCAGATTATTACATGGCAGATATTGCCACTCTAAGCACAAGAAACACCATATTTCACACATTTTTTTTGCTTTCTTTAATTCTGTTAAATTTTATTCATAAAACTCTCAAATTCCTAAACCTCGAATTAGCAAGATCCACATGACTTACATGCAGTCACAGATTGTGCAGTGTGAATGGGTGAATATTTAATAAACTTTTCTGTAATTTATAGTAAATAAATTACAAAAATCAGATTGCACTAAATACATAATATATTTATTTAGAATATTTATAATATAAATACAAAATTAACTACCTAGGTCACTGAAATTAGATTTTAAATAGCGTTATTTTATATGAAACATAAAAAAATTTTAAGTATGATTTAATTCCTAACAAAAATTGAAATTCCCTCTGGATAAATGAGTTAAAGAGAGATTACCTATACCTTGAGCAAATCGTATGTCTATATATCTATTTATATAATCATGTAGGTATATTACTTAGGTATATATTTTAAGCTAAAATTGGAAACTCGTCTTCTGGATCTTTACGTGGTTTGATTTCAGGAAATTCTGCATTCAAATGTTTACTAAAGTCATATGTTGTTATTGTTGGTGCTATGAAACCTCCATAACCAGTCTTTCCTTTATAATAAATTCCTGCTCTCTTTAATGGTGCTGCAGGATAGGAAGCTACTGGTTGTGTATCAAAGAAGGGTACCGTAGTTTGTGCTGCATCTTTATCGAAACTTGAATGTGTAAACTCGACGTAAGTGTTTGCATCAAAATTGTTTTCAGATGCTGGAGAAGCAGTTGGTACATCAGGATTGTAGATATTTATTTTATTCCTGCAATTTTTATTAGAAAAGATAATTGGATCTATTCTGTTTGTATGTGGCTATCATTATTGATAAGTAACGATATTATTATGACTATAAATAATAGCAATATTATTATCAATTTAGTTATTCTGTTTCGCTGTTTTTAAACAGATTTGTTATGATCTTTGTGTTAACAATTTTTTGGTTAAAATATTTTTTAATCAAGTGAAGTTATCTTTGACGCATGCTTGATTTAGGAAAATATCATTTCATATACCTACATTCCATTTGATATTTGTTGAGATAAAATTTAAATAAAACAATTTCCTTTGCTACGTTGTTTTTAACTTGAGCCCATATCATTTCTTTGGATGAACACTGAACTCTACGCCGCCAATGTCTTTCTACCTCAGGAGTCGAATGCGGTTAATTCCAAGAAAGTGATGCAGGGGTCTTAGAATTCTATCTCAACAAATATCGTACGGACTGTAACTTAAATTTCCATTAGATATAGCTTTTAAACCAATGGTATTTCTTAAACATAATCTCAATGTAATTAAAATTTTTTGTTTGACTTGTCAGTTTGGTTTGGGTTTTATATTATATTAAAAACAACTCGTCATAATAGGCAACATGAATATAACTGAATCCAAGGAAAGCCCCAGCAAGTGTAAAAAAAATTAGAATTCATCCAATAAACTCCCTCCAGTGAACATATTACTGATAAATCCGCTTCTAAATAACCTTAATGGGGACTTCGAGATCGCTGTTCATAAATTTTAAGTTATTTTCAGAAGATTCAAGATGGCAGTTTTTATATAACTGTTTAGCAAGCCATAAACTACAAAACTTTTATTCAAACATAGTTCAATGGTAGATTTCTTCAGACAAGACAAGTCAGACCAGTAATTTCCTATGTTTTCGAAGTCGCTATATCATAAAGGACCCCGCACAAACCTTCGGTCAATTTGAATGAAATTTTGGGAATAGGTTGTTTTTGTTATGAGGAACAAAAGTCTTCATGGGCCCAAAGTTTGCTAATGGACAATTTCCGAGATATTCGATGTTAAAAGTTGATAATGCGAATGCGTGTCAAGCACGTGTTTAAATGCGTATTAGTCGCGTAAAATTGACCGAACGGAGTTTCCCATAAGGTTTGTGCGGGGTCCTTTAAGTCACTTCGATAGTATCGTATCACTTTCCAATCCTAACCTCAAAAGATATTGAAAAATCAACTTTTTATTCATAACGCGAATTAAATCATTAGATTTGTTTCTAATGTTTTTGGGCAATAAAATTCAGCTGTTGACAGGTGGTTGACAAATTGCCTAGTAGTGCAGTGCAGCAATGCGGAATTTGGTGTGATTCAGAAAATATAGCAGAAAACTTTTTTAGGGGTGCCTATGAAACTCAATAAATTTTATTGCTAGACGTTTTTATACATGTTCAACTGACTAGAAAGACTAGACTTTTCCTACCAAATCATGCAACAATTTGACCATGATTTCCTGCATTATTGATATCAGTTCTCGAGTAGTATTGAAAGATATCAGCTTCCATACCATCATGTTGGTCCCTTCGCCAGTCGCAAGCCTGTTTGTCTACAAGTAATGCCACGGATATTCGACTAGCGATGATCCTGAATACTCTCGAAGATAGTCATTTTAAGAAATGAGATTTTTTACCATTACTGGCGTTTTATTACTTTTTTATTTGGTTTCCTGGGTACAAATGCCACTGATAAGTCGAGATTGAAAAATTCGAAATATCCATGGGATTTGAACCCATGACCCCTTGAATGGCCTTGTTTTAGCGCCATTACCGCCTTACCAACTGAGCCAAGGACCACTCTGACCTCGAAAACATAGAAGAAAAATGCTCTTAAGATTTAATTGATAGTATAAATTTTCATTCATGTAATGAATTGGATCTTAAGAGCATTTTTTTCACAATTTGCAAGTTTTAAATTTTTTTGAAACAAAGATCAGAAACTGATGACATTATCGAAACGACTTTAAATTGCAATTTGACAAACCCGGAAACATGAGAAACAACGAGTCTCTTAGGATTGATTAGTTGATTTATTAATAAAAAATTTTGATTTTTAATTTTTTTTTTAATGTTAGTAGAATAGAATAGAAGTATACGTTTATTTTCAATTAAATCAAAAAATAAATAACATATTAACATGACATTGTACTATCGAGTCAATTTAAAATTACGTTTCAGCAACTTCAAAAACATAAGAATCGACTAGCCTCGTGATTTTTAATTTTTTTTTTTTTTGAGGAAAGTGATACGATACTATCGAACTGACTTCATTTTATGATTCACTGACTTCGAAAACATAGGAAATTACTACTCTGACTTGTCTTGTCTGTGAAATAGATGATTAAACTATTTTTGAATAAATTTTTGTGGTTTATGGCTTGCCAAGCAGTTATATAAAAAATGCCATCTTGAATCTTCTAAAAATAATTTAAGATTTATGAACCGTGATCTCGAAATTCCCATTAAGGTTATTTGGAGATGGATTTATCAGTAATATGTTCACTGGAAGGAGTTTATTGGATGAATCCTAATTTTTTTACATTTGCATATTGGGCCGATATATTGGATTTTCGAATTCTGCCACATAACATATTAAAGTATTTGGAAGAACAAATTTGTGTGGGCCCAAAAACATTAATTAAGTGTCTCCAAATTTTGGCGAAAGCTGTGATCGATTTTACTTGGAACGTCCCATATATACAGGGTGTTAATGTATGTACAATAAATTCAACAGACGATTTTTTGAGTGATTTTAAGACAAAAAGTTCATATAAACATTGGTCCGCATATGCTTCGTTTTCAAGATACAGGGTGTTAAACTTTTGTAAAAAAATGACTATTTCGTAAATATCTTATATACCCTTTAACCAATTTTGTTGTAATTCGGCTGTGTTACTTGTAGTGTTAAGGGGCTAACCTAACGTAACTTGATTAGATTTGTTAAATCCAGTGGCATCTCGAGCGGTACCTTAATGATTATTTTTGACAAGAAAAATGTACACCACTGACTTTTTTGTAATTTTTATATTTTTTGGATTAAACTAAAAATACAACTTTTTTGCCTCTTGAATATTTTTCATATCTTGATTAATTTTTGGAGAAAAAAAAATCAAATCCACTTAATTGCATATCCCTGGACCATACAAGAAACATTATTAAAAATATTCATTAAGGTACTGCTCGGGACACCACTGGATTTAACAAATCTAATCAAGTTAGGTTTAAATTAGCCCCTTAACACTACATGTAACACTGCCAAATTACAACAAAATTAGGTAGAGGGTGTTTAAAATATTTACGAAATAGCAATATTTTTACAAAAGTTTAACACCCTGTATCTTGAAAATGAAGCATCTGCGGACCATTGTTTATATAAACTTTTTCTTAAAATCACTCAAATAATCGTCTGTTGAATTTATTGTACATACTTAATTAACACCCTGTATAATGGTTCTTTGTTTTATAAATATGAAAGAGTAGAAAATAAAATATTCAAAATAATGAACTCATAACTTTTAGAACCATTATTCAAGCAATTTTTATTTATTATTTTACTAATTTGGTCAAACTAATTTCATGGTATGAACGTTAATTTTGATATTAAATTATTTTTATCAAACAGATTTAAAGTAAATTTGATAAGTCTGACACGGTCCATGAACAGCTTTATAAATTTATTGTTTGCCTATCAAATATTTTAACAATGTTTTAAATGAACAAATATCCACACTTTACAACTTATAAATTCACTTATTGAGAATATTTTCTGCTACATGCACAAAATTTACACAAAAGTTAGTCCCAGTTGGACGCATTATTTATAAAATATGTCTGGTTACAACCATAATCACTAAAAATTGCGATCGTTATGGTAACAATACTTGTGAATAATAAATTATTATTCTGACAGATGAAATAGCCGAGAAAGGTGAAACAGAATAACATTTCAATGAAAGTTGTTTAACAACATCATTTGCAAACAGAATTGGCCCAAGTGTATATTAAATTTGTTTATCAAGAAATGATCTTACCTATTTTGACCTCCAAATATATAATAGGAATCATTTGAAATAATTCCTTTTTCAAAATTAAAGGCACGTACATTTATTTCAAATTTAAGGTTATTGTCGATAAATTCAAATCTAACTCCTAAAATGTATTATTAATAAATTTACGTCCAATTTTATTTTTTCATATATTACCGGTAATTAAATGGCTTGCTTCGTGTGGCATTAAATCGTCTAAAAACAATGTTCTTCTTTCGTAGTCCATAACGTGAAAATCAACCCCGTTTTGAACTCCATCATCTGTAATCGTGTAGTCATCAACAGGAACCCATCTAATAGTAGAATCATCAATGTATCCATAAGGTAATAGTTTTCCTTCTTGTATTTGCAGATGGATTATACGATTGTGCTTCACAATTCTGAGACCAGTTACTACCCTGAAAGAAATTTGGTGAATTTAGACGTGTCTTAATTTCATTCTTTTCAAATATTTTAATGTCAAAATAAGTAAACTGCAATAAAAAAAGAGAATTACAGATACCTATAAACATTACTGAAAGTTCGATATTATATTTCTTTCTGTACCTGTTATGAGCAACATCAGCCATTACTGGTCTCATATTAAAATATCTATCAGAATGTAATCCTTCTTGGTCGCAGAGACATAAACAATATGAACAGTGTACGAACCATCTGAACCAACTATTGACACTTTTACCTTGACAGTACATTTTCTTACCTAAGACCTTGCCACTTTTATATTGAATATATTGATATCTCCTTGAACTAGATGAAGGCTAAAAATTGCACAATTAAAAAAAATAATGTTATTAATATCATGATGAAAGAGAGCATTTCTCATTTTAAATTTAAGGATCTTTTCGTATAATACTATAACTATAAAAAACAAAATTGTTCTTAAAAGATGGGGCGAGGGTTTAATTAATAATTATGTTATGACTACATCAATTGATGTTAGAACATTTTACTCAGTGTAGTGTAAATGTTAATAACTAATAGTTTACCAACAACTTCAGTCACTAACTTAAATAAGAAAATTATTAAAAATCGAATGAGAATATTATAGACATTTCAAAAAAAATTTAATTAAAGTAAACTCAGTAACACATAATAAATTTATATGCAAGAACCCTTCAGATTTTGGCTAGTGATATAATAAAACTTTGTTTCATTGGGTCCCAGGTCAAAACTTTTTACAAAAGTAGGTATATACAGGCATGATTAGACAGGCAATAATAATAAAATTGTTGGGTTTAATTAAAAAACATCCACTGTCAAACTTTTCAAAAGCAGCAATATATTTTTTTTTCGATTATTGTTTTTACCAAATACATTTATTGTCTAAAATCAAGTTTGAAGTAGGAGCTTATTTTTAGTGGTGCTTTCATTTTATCGCTTATTCCTGAAGCTCTCATTTTTCGAGATATAAAGTGCTCATAATTAAAAAATAAAATGTAGATCTTTAAATATTTCCTGAATGGAATTAAATTTTGTTTGCCATACTATGCAAATAAATTTAAATATTCCTAAGTTTAACAGAACTTATCATCTTTACAAATTGCTAATTTGTACTAAAACGGTCAAAGCGGTGAAAAAGTCAAAAGACTATTTTCATAAAAAATTAAATCTCAAAGGTAACCTGCATGCCTCATATCTATGTTACTGGTTTGTGAGTAATTGATATAATTTAATTTTAGCTGTTACACCTTTATTATTTTTTTGAAACTGTTAACACCTTATATCTCCAAAAATTAGAGTTTGGAGGGCAAATATTTATGTAGGCATGTTTCTTTATTTTTGATATATTGTGTTACACTGTATATCACTTGATTATTTGTATTGTTCAGAAATCGAATTTAAGTGTACTAAATTTGTAATAAATATTTATAAATTTTTAAGTAGGTACACAACTGTTTTTTTTTAAACATATTTTGAAATGAAGATCTTTTTTTTAATATATTTCAATTAATTAAAATTTTGTTTTTTATTATTAAATGCTAATTTTATATTATTATATTTGAAAAAATACTTACAGAAAAACAAGCTGTCATCTGAGATTCTACAAATTTGCAACCTATAATTTTTCCTTTACATAATTTTCGTTTTTTGCAATACATGCTTTCGCTGTCGTAACAACCATAACTCCTAGATAAAGAATATGCCCCACAGTTTTCTGTACAAGTGCCTTTGAAATTCATATCTACTTCATTTTCAATATGACCTTGTAATAATGCTGTTAATTCATCATATGTTGATCCTAAAATAAGTAACAAATTCTTAGTTCATTATTTTTTCATTTTCAACAAAGCTAATAGTAATGCAGACAACTTTTAATTTTTTATTAATAATTTAACAATATTATACCTTTGATATGTTGCTTAGGATCACATCTCCACAATGTCCGTGGCATTATTGTCATGGCAGAAACAAGAATCTCTGCCATGTCGCTAGATAATTTTTCAAATTGTTTTCTAGCTATTAATGAATCATGAGTATAGTTCTCTAAAAACAATAATAATTTAGATGTTTTAGTTTTTAATTTTCAGTTTTCAAATTTTTTAAATTTCAAACATTAGCAACTTAAATGATTAGCCACCCCTTCAGAATTATGATTAGATTAAAGCCAGTTACGATGTTCAATTATTACATCCAACTAATCAGCTGATTTTCTAATTATGATTACTGGTTATGAAATAATAAGGCAAAACAAAATGGCTATTATACAGGGTTTACACTAATCTGGAAAATCGAAAAAACTTGGATTCATCAGGCAATTTCACTTTGAACATCCTGTATCTTGTAAAACTGAAACATTTGTATAAGGCATGTTAAGCTCAATCATCATATTTTGGTGTGTTCTCCAGTTTAGAGATTGCCCATTCTTAATGTACATACAGGGTGTCCCAGTGAAAACGAAACAGAGCGAGTAAGTCTCAGGAAAATTATTTTTCCGAAAATCCCCTAGACAGGTCGATTTTTGATCGAAGGGGGACATCTTTTCACATAAATTGTTTGTTATAGACCCCCCCCCCAAGATTCTTAATAGAGAAGGGTAAAGTGACACATGGTTTGGAAGGTATTCTAATTCTCTATACAACCTTGTTTTATTTTTTGAATTTGACTGATTAGTTTCGGAGATACAGGTTGTTATAAGAAAGCTACTTTTTACAAATTTATTTGCAAATTACTACATATCAGCCAATTAAGTGTTCAAACTGAACACCTCCAGCCTCCATACAGTAATGTAAGTTTGGTAAAATGCATTCACGCACATTTTGGAACATTTTTGGAGTAACTTGGCGGCATTCGTTGACAATGCATTAGCGTAGATCTTTAAGGGAAGTAGGTGGAGTGAAATAAACTTTAAGTGAGCCCACAAAAAAGTCCAAAGGAGACAAATTCAGCAATCGTGCAGGCCATTCTATGACGCCTCTTCTACCAATCCATTGATTCGCAAACTGACGATCAAGATACTGACGAACAGGCAGGGTGTAATATGGCGGAGCTCTATCCTGTTTCAATATCAACTAGTCTTCCATATAATTCTCATTATTGATGATAATATTCTCCAACAAATCCAAATACATCTCCCCGGTGAGATTACCTGGTAAGAAAAAAGGACCAATAATACGGCCACCAAAAATTCCAGCCCATACATTTAATTTTTCCGGATGTTGTGAATGACTCTCCTTGGGTTAGAATCGGATCAATAATGAGAATTAAGAGGACTGATGGTGCCATTAACAGAAAAAGAACTCTCATCCGAGGAGCAGATATGAAAAATAAAATCAAGATTGTTAACAGATTGTTGATCAATCACAAAATTGTAGTCAGCCGTCAGTCATATTCATGAAGAACCGGTATCTCCTAATCGGTCAAATTCAAAAAATAAAACACGGTTGTGTAGAGAATTAGACTACCTTTCAAACGATTTATCACTAAACCCTCCTTCCCTATTAAGATTTGGGGGGGGGGGGTTGTTAAAAGTACGTAGAATTTGTCTGCCATATTTTTCTCAAATTTTTTTTGATTCATGATAGATGGCGCTGTAATCTGCAATAGGTTGGCTACAAAAAATAAGTGTAATTTTATGTAAATACTCGAAATTTGTCACCAAAAAAGTTTATTTATTTTGCAAATTTCGAATAACTGAGAAATTGTTACCTGTAGAAATGTAAATGGCTGGTGAATAAACTACTTTTAGCATAACTAGGAACAACCACGTGGACATAGTAGTTCTCTGTTCCCTTTGGGGTACTTAATTAAAATGACTTGTATCTTAAAGTTATTTCTTTCTGTCTATGTTTATTTTGTGTTTTTGCAGTCACAAAAAACATGAAGATAAAAATAACACACATTAAATGTGTTGTTATAAAAATTATTTTTAACAAAAGAAATAGTTTCTTTAAAACAAAACACAAAAAAAATACATTCATTTGAAAGCATATTTAATCTAGCACTCTGATAACTCACAAGCGAAGGAAATCGCGTTGACCAAGTATCACAAAAAGGACTACTGTTCCTGAATTACGATAATACACAAGTAATTTTTCAGTAATTGGGAACTTGAGAAATAAAAACTGTTTTAAATTTTGATTATTTACAGTGAAAACGTGGTATTTTTTATTGTAAACGTACTGCAGAATCTTATGCATAGGTTCAGGAGAAATTGAAAAAATTTAATTTCGACGATTACAGTGCCTACTATCATGAATTTTAAAGAAACTTTTAGACAAATTCTACTTTTAACCCTTGAATCCGAATCTGCAATACAAAACAAAATTGGGGTTTCTATTTAAGATTTCAAAGTTATCCCCATCTCCCCTACAAGGAGGGAAGAGGGGAAATTTTGATTATGAACATTTTTTTCATACTTCCTTATTTTTTGAGATATGCTACCATTTTCGAGATCTCAGGGTGATATTAATTTTTCGCAAATATGTTTTGAATTTTGTACATGATTTTAGTAAAAAAAGTAGTAAAATAAATTTTTTGATAATTTTTGCTTGCGTACCAAATAAGGGCAATCTAAAATTAGACATTATATATATTGGGAGATTTTCGGTATAGGAAAAAATAGTATTACCATTAATTACACTCAATTTAAACTTTCCTATTCAAACAAAATCAACAAAAAAAATGTAATTGTTTTATTTGTTATTTTTTTTTGTCACATATGTATATCATTCCCATTTAAAGGGGTGTGTCTCCCTTAGTATGTATTTTTGGAAAAATGCATGAAGAGATACAGTTATTTTTTTGCCTAATTTTAATATGACGCTGTAATTATTGCTTAGAATTGGCAGAAATTAAAATACAAATCATCTTACCTTTTTTTACTAATCTTTGAGCTAAGTAAGAAAATTGTACCATAATATAGCCTTTCAGTTGTGCCAATGATATCGCGTTGTATAAATTAAAGAAGACTTGCTGTGGTGATTGCTTAAATTGTTTACACATATAGTCATTCTTTAAAATAATCTGAAAAAATTCAAATTTTTGAATACCACATAATATGTGTCAGAGTGTACATACATATTGCGCACATTTAAAAATTTTAAACGTTCATACCACTTCGTATGGTTTATGATCTAGGGCCTTGCAAATATGTATGGATAAGACAAAAGCAGGGCATACTCATAGAATTAACAGTTGTGGAACAAACTGTACATTATTGAGAATTTTTGTACTAATCTAAACTTGCAGATATTGGAAACAGATAAATTGAAAAATCTTGTCCTCATTCAGTAACTGGCATACAAATAAATTAATACAATTTAAACTAATACGGATTATTGATACATCATCCCTATTTCTAAGGGTCATAATAAATACACAAAAGTTTATTATCTATTCAGTCCACCATTTAGTATGGACATAATTATGATTATACAGTTATTATTGTAAAATGGCACAAATCATTTAACTGGCTAAAAGGTCAAGATTTTAATAAATGCAGGGAGAAAACTTTAATTTCCAATATACTAAAACACATTTTTGTTCCCAATTTTAAGAACTACTAATTTATCTTTCTATTAGGAATTTGTGTTAGTGTGACCCGAGGAATTCTGGATTGTGATGGATCGAATCTGAACATTTCTTTATACAGTTCAGGTCCGCAGGCAAATCTATGTATGTACGACCTGCTAATCGCTCCTCCCTCTCAATCAAAGGTTTGGAGATCTCTACACTTATGAAAAGAAAAACGAAAGTAGAAGGTGATACCAACATTTTACTACATATATATATATACTCAGAATTTGTTTTGTCATACTTACATCAAAAATACTGTTTATTAAGTATCCATTTTCACTGTCTTGAAAAGTTTGTTTAAAAATATTTGTAATAGTTTTATTCATATTATTTTTCGGGTCATGCAATACTTCGTCAATGATGAATGACATTTTAGTCTCACTTTCATCTATTTCAGATAAATTATTGTTGTCAGCAGAACTACTAATATTTAGAAACCTTCTAAATTTATCGTACATATCATGAACAACCCTAAAATCTGAGTATAAAAATAAAAATTGTGGTGCTTGTCTTATAACTTCCATTCCATATAAAATATCTTGTGGCATCTGAAATATAATGAGCTTTTGGTTAGTCAATCATCAATTTTTATGATGAATATTAAATAAATGTAAATAATTCGGGAACGTGTAACAATTCATTAATGCATATCTATCTATTTTTGTGTAAAATGTAAATATTCAATTTGTAACATATTTGACACACACAGGGTGTCTGCTAAGAATTTATAACTAAAATACAGAGTGTTAAAGTTAAACAAAATAAAGTTTGCTTTAGTAACGTCCCGGAATCCTATATAGCAATTATTTTCAAATCAATTATAGTAATGCTATTAATTGTGAACCTCTATTATGTATCAGGTGTAGTGTCAGTTGAACATAAAAATTTAACGGCGTTTAAATTATGGATTTTTTACTTTGAAAGAAATTTCGTATATTTTAGAGAAATGCTAAATTTAGAATCATAAAACATTCTGCCATAAAAAAATATATTGTATACTATTATCTCATGTCCATAAAATGCACTATTTTTGAGAAAAACGTATTCTCATTCGGTACTGCACAATGCCTGTTTGTTAGTTGTTATTTTTAAAGGTATAAAAAAGTTAAATATAAGAATTTAATGAATTTTTGTAAAATGCTAATGTTTTGTATCATATGAAACGAATGAACATTGCAAAAGTCTCAATATATTTACTAATACTTTTATTTTTTATACTTATAACATCCAGTATATCTTTTATGGTAAAGATAGCCCAAGATGGTCTATAAAAATAACGTGTTAGGCAAAGACTTGGTTACCTAGGAACAAATGAGAATCTCTTCTGGTCATGTCTGCCTTACTATAAGATAAATAGACAGATAGAACTATCAAATCTATTGGTGTGATCGTGATCATAACAACAAGTTTTATCTAAATATGTAAAAATACACACGTTTTATTAAAAAATAAAACAAGTTTGTTTTGTCTATTTTGACAATGTTTTTTTGCAATGTTCATTTGTTTCTGACCTGATACAATGTTTTTTTTTTATATTTTCATAGAGTACAAATTATTGGGAAACACTAAGTAGGACATTTTTTTTTCAACTGAAAAGATACTTTTTCGATATAAATTTAACTGAGAAAACTATTAACTAAACAAAGTAAAAACGTAAATGACCATCTTTGTACATACACATAAGTATATTGGGCAGGAAAATTGTGCTTTTTATGAATATAAGACAGAATATTTTTTACAGTAAAATGCGTTTTAATGACATGTTGTAGGTTACTAGATTTTTCTATTAAACTGAATCATACCTGATAATTTTGTGTTACGTTTCTGAGATGTCTAGAAACCTGTATAAATTTTTTAAGCACCTTGAAAACAAATTGTCTATGACAAATATTTATATGAACAGTCTTGTTATAGAATTTAGTGGTGAAATTTGAACTACTCTAGTAGATACCATATAAATGAAATTAATTTTGAAATATTTCCTCGAGATTTTGATTACATAGGATTAAATTTATCAAAAAACAACTTTTAACTCATCTTTCTGTTGTTTACCTACTTTTTTTTCAAAATTTTTCCTCATCAAATAATAAAGTAAAATATTAATTAATAGATACCACTAAATATTTTACGTAAAAACTGTATGTATCAGAACTACCTTTCGTAAAACATTGTCGTAAGTAGCAAAACCACTAATTACAGTAATTCCAGGATCTTCAGTGTCATTGAAACCGTTTTTAGACTGTTCCAGAACAAATTTCCATAAATTTTCTTCTAGATTTAGAAAGTCCCATCTTAACTGATCAACCATTAAAAATCCATTACTGTTCGATATCAAAAATATATTTACAAAACAAAGTACACCACCTAAACTTATCATGTTATTTACGTCTCTTAACCAACAGATTATATTCTGAACAAGTTGAAAACTCTACTGGTCTGTTATCTTTTATAACTTCCTTTTAAAGTGCTGAATATTAACAAATAAATGTTAATATAATGTGATACAATTCAACAACAGTAAAACCAGTATATCTCCAACCTCTATATCATTCCTAAGTAATACATAGTTAAGGTATAGTTTTATCATGAATTAATATTGAATATTATGGGTTAGAGTTTATCTGTATATGAGTTCAAGAATATTAAAATCCTAACGCTACTGGCAAAGGATCTTCGGATTGATGTATTATACACCATGTCCGAATTGTTGTAGTCAAAATATGACAGTTTAAAAAAATGTTTCTCCAAATAATCTGTAAAATGATCAATATAATTTAAATTAATTTTAATATAGTAACTACCAAAGTAATTGCATTCACAGAAATGGGAAAATTTTAATTTTTCATACTTTTTTCTTAGTAGGTGACCCTTACAACTTCAATTTTTGGTTTTTTTAAAGCTTTTTCTCGTATTTTTTTATTTTAAACGGTTTTTGACAAATTAATTAGTTTTTTAGTCAAATAATTTTCTACACAAATCTGAATGAAAACTGATTTATTTAATAATAAAAACGAAGTAATGCTTTGTCAAGTTCAAAGTGGAAATTATAATGGGGTGTTTGCTACCTTTTCAGATATTACAATAAAATAATATAATGTGCAAAAAAACTTAACTTGTATTTCTTTATTTTTGCATGAAATCATTATTTAATTCGTAATTGAAAAAATGTTAAAAGTAAAACGAATTTGGCGAACAGCTGTGTAACGTGCTAGACTATACCTTAATTGCGCAGTCTATTAATAGGAAACTTAACTAAAATCTTATACCATTGTCCTCCATTTATTAAGTAATAGAAAGACAGAGATGAGTTACTTAAATATGAAGTTTTTTATAATAACAGGATCTAGTTTGTCACAAGTTTGATTGCCGTTACTCAGCATGAGACAGAGTAATCATAGATGAACAAAAAGTTGTATACTTATTACAGGGGGATAAAATTAACAGTTCTCAAAATACAGCGAGCATTAATATTGGGAGTTTCATCACAACGTGACAACAGCGCTTAACTTAACGCTATACGGTTGATTCAGACCACGTGTGCACGCGGCAGACTTGTCCTGGAGTAACAAAAATTAAATAACTATTATTGTGAAATATTTAGTAAATTTCAAGATAATTGTTTTTCAGTTTTAAATAAATAAAATAAAATGTAGGTATCGATTTTGTACTAGGAAAATAGTGTTGTGCTTAAATTTTAGCTCGAATTTTAGTAATTATGAATCTCTTAAAACAGGAACTTAACTTTTAATCAAACTATGAGTTTGAAAAATATGTAATTAAAGTACCCAAAGATTCACGTCGTCCAAATAATCATACGTATTAAAAATAATTTAGGTACTTGCCAAAAAGCCTAATTCAGTAATTTTCAAACGCACAGGTACAAAACAAACTACAACATATGCTCAAAATGTCCACCACCATTTTCGATGCACGTACACGTTCGAATGCAATTTTCGCGCACTCACTGGAAAATTATCACGTATGGTAAACATTTTAAAAAAGCAAGGAGAATCACCTCAAGAAAAGGAAATAGTTGTACGCAAAAAACACTCCGTTACGGTCAAATTCCAGATACCAACTGAATTGCATTTTGCTGGATGTACTGTTAGTACCTCGTGTTAATTGCCGCGCCATTGTCACATTGCTCGATATGAATTTTATCGAATTTTAAATTTATACAACGCTAATTATTTTTTTAGAATTAAGAATGAAGAAGTTCAAAAAGATGATAAAACATTGTATTTTATGGTATTCTATGCACGCAGTTGTTGTGTCAGTATTCCTTAATTAATCGAACTTTTGTACATCTAGTTGGAGATTTTGGTAATTTTTTTCTCGGAAATGGTCGAGTTTAGGACCCAAGTCATATAAGGTTTTTTGTTTATTTTAAGTATTCTATCGTCTGTTAAAATTAAGACAATCAAATTTCTTGCACCCTGTATATGTGTGTGTGTATATACATTTGGGCAATACATATAGGACGCACTTTTAGGCGTCATTATAGGTTTTTTTTCGGGAAAAAAATACTATTAGAAGTTTATCTGCGGAATATTGTTCAGAAACGTGTTATAAACAAAATATTAAAAAATCAACTCGAGACTAGTTGGGAAACTTTGTTAAAACAATGGTCAAAGTTATGGAAAAGTGTTTTTCTACAAAACTGTTAAAAGTGGGCTTTTTAATTTTCATTTTTGATGTTAAAAATGTCATTTTTTGACACGCGTGTTAAAAGTAAGTTACTTTTAACCACAGTATACTAATCAATCAGTAGGGAAACTTAAATGATTTATGAATGAATTCCGTATGGCAATTTTTAAATACCCCCACCCTAGGAAAAGTCGCTAAGAATATGGCGGATCTTTCGAGCATAAACTATTGGAGGCATGCCATTACGAAATTTGAGGCTGAGTGTGCGAGAGAAACAGACAGTACCTCAGTACTTGCTGTCTCACTCTAACACGCCACGATTGGTTGGAAATGAATGCTCCAACTAATCGCGGCGTGCTAGAGTGAGATAGCATGTCTAAGATACTGTCTGTCTCTCAGCCACGCTTTTCGCAATGGTATGCTACCTCTAGTAGTATAGTAAACTAGATTTATGAATGAAAATATGAGAACGGAAATCGTAATAACTGTCAGTCGCTAACAAAATGGTGGAAATATGGAAGACGCGGGAAACGTAACTTTCCCTACTGATTGATTAGTATACTGTGCTTTTAACACTAGTGTTAAAAGTAAATCAAACAGCACTGGTTGCTACGAAAATTTTGATTCATAAACACTGCGATCTGTGTGGTATTTTTTGATTTCTTATTTTTATTGAGTTTAAAGTTCTTCCGATTGTTTTGTAGAAAAAATAGTGTATGATATACGTGTTAAAAGTGATTTTATTTTGTTCGTGAAGTTAAAAAACTCGCTACGCTCGTTTTTTAATCATCTTCACTCACAAAATAAAATGCCACTTTTAACACTTGTATCATAAATAACTATTTTTTGACTCGCGTAAAAAAACTGTTATTCATAGAGAAAAAAGGTATACACAAAAAAGGTAGGTATTAAATAAATATATAAAATAAGACAAGTCCCATTAAGTTCCGATAATTTGTTTATGCGCAAGAGCTCAAAAATGGTCGAAAATGTCCGCTTTTTTTAATTGCTAATAATTAATGCAATTTTCATCGCAGACACTTGTAATTCAGGATTTTTTAGGCTTTTTGCACCCTTAATAAGTGGCAAAAATTTCAGCCCGAAAGCTTCATTAGCTTGCCGTTGACGGAATTTGTTATCTGAGAAGATGCTATTTTCAATTCATTTTTCCCAAGCTCACAGGCGTTATAGAGTTTCGATCATTAGTTGTTTTTGTACCTAAATAGTTGTATTGACATATGCATTTACTGACAATTTAATTTTTCAAATTTAATTTGTTTAAAAATTACTTTGAAAAAATGTTAATATTTATTGAATTGTTGAGATAATTAATAAGGTAAAATGAAACAGTAACCTCTCTATTCTATAGTTTAGTTAGTACTATTTTTCTTCGAATTTAAAAAAAAATCGTTGTTCTAAGTTGATTAGAAGCTGAGATAATTTTTTTTTATTTAATCGCAGTGACCTTATGAATTATGTGAATACGTGAATTATTAATATTTAGAGCCGAAATTTGGAGAAAGTATACATTAAGAGCTATATTTTCATGTCCTACATTAACATTAAGGTGAATTCAACTATTTCATTGCAAATAAGAAGATAGCGGCGATGCGTTCTATTCTTCTATTACTCGGTCTAGCGAACGAGTGGGAAGGGCAAGGCGGAGCATGCGTGATACGCGTTAATAATGAACGTATCGAGATGATTCTTTTTTTAATTTGGAGTATCGCGAAAATTCATGAGCATTGAAGCTATTGTATTAACGAAATTAACATTATTTCAACCCAAGATTTACTAAATAAAAAATTAAATCTCGGGTTGAAATAATGTTAATTTCGTTAATGCAATAGCTTCAATGCTCATGAATTTTCGCGCTACCCCAAATTAAAAAAAGAATCATCTCGATAAGTTCATTATTAACCCAGATATGGCTAATTTTTCCCGCTCCATCGATTTGAAGCCGCTCGATCATTTTCCTGCGCGCATGCTTCGCTTCGCTCTCCCCGCGCTATTGACACAAATTGTCAGTAGATCACTTTTGAATGTTGAGAGATGGTCATCGAGATGAAAAAAGTTTATGATTTTGTTTCAAAATTTAAAAAAATCGGATGGTAAATAAATAATTATATCTTTAAAAATACATACATCTCTACTCTACATCTTCTTAAAAGTGAATTATGAGCACACTCAAAATATATCCCAGGTATATTGTATAGCTTGTATTCTCAATTCGCTCTGTATACACAAACTTATAAGATAACCCCAAATAAAGAACTACTAATTATATTCGTGTCTGGCGACCTATGTTACTATTGAACCATCCATCGCATCAAATCCACCTTTATTTAGTTTCATTTAGTACTACCGAGCCGGGAATAAGTATAAGAACAGACTATAAAGGATTAACCGTATTTTTGTAATATTTAAAGGGTTATTTTTCGGGAGATATTAATAAATCAATTAAGACAATATGTATAGTCAAATTTTATTGTACCATGTGTATTATTAAATTTTATGTCAATCAACCTTGTATCTCGAAAACGAAGTAAACTGCAACCCATGTTCATGTGAAACTTTTTGCTGGTGGGAAGTTTCCTCCTTAAAATATGGATCACCCTGCATATCTTTAAATTTTATTCTAATCTCATTATAATCAATATTTTATCGTGTACCTAATTAGTCATGATGTGTGTCTGAATACAGCGTAGAATCTCGACACATACAATAGAATACATTGAACACAACAAAATTATTAACCAAAAGGCGGC